CCTCTGCATACGTAGGCCTCAACATACTTAAAGGAAGAAGCAAGATTCTCAAATTCAACCCAGAGAACATAAATCCAATCACACTTGATCGAAAAACTCTGGAAAATGTGGAAAGTCCCACGTATCTGAGCAACGTCATCGATGAACGTGGAGGAGCTGATGCAAACGTAAAGGCTAGGATTGACAAAGCGGGAACAGCATTCCTACAGTTGAAGAACATATGGAACTCAAAACAACTGTCAACAAATATCAAAGTGAGAATCTTCAATACGAACGTCAAGATAGTTCTTTTGTATGAAGTTGAAACTTGAAGAACTATCAAAACCATTATCAAGAAGGCACAATTACTTATAAACAGTTGTCTGCTCAAGATACTCAATGCCATTGATCGGATACCATCAGCAACAGTCTACTGTGGAAGAGAACAAACTAGCTTCCATCTGAACGTGAACTAACTGCAATTAAAAAAAGGATAAATAACATCTCTGCTCGGTACTGTGGGGATTATGTGTTTTTATTTACTTTCCATTATGAAATATTCCATTTCATCAAACTGGTTGGACTGTCAGGTGAGTCAGTTTCACATTTTTTTCCTGTTTATATGTTTTTTTTAAAGTATTGAAATACTGTCCAGCTTTTCATCGCACAAAGTCTGTGAATCCATTCAGCTCATTGATTATTCTTTTCAGTAAAATTCGTTTAATGCTTTTTATTGCAAGACCTTTCCCCAGTAAAATGGTGTATCTTAAAAATCTTTCGTTAGGCAGCTGATTAGACGAATTAGTGGCCGAGAACATCAATGGGCATAAACAAATATATCTGAACACAAATTACAGAATCTCGGTAAAATCTGAGAACCATGCAATAAATAATTCATTCAAAAAGTGTCAACCAATTGTCTCAGACTTGATTGTTCCCCCGTTTCCACACCAATCTCTCTCTTTTTTTCAATCTTCCTAACTTTCTACCGCCAGACATTTCACTTTCGATTGATAGTACATACTACTTATATCTGTGGACATTAGTAGCTCACCCCACAGTACAATGGTCATTCCATATATGTATGGGCGTGTTTCGAACCATTCATTATCTACACAACATAAAGGCTACATATGATGTTTTTCAAACTATTATTCAAAAACGAAAACTTCATTATATCCTAGTGACTTGTACCAAGTTTGGTAACCGTTTGCGGTAACTGGAAGTCTCTCTACAAGTCTCTTTCATTAAATAATGTTGAAAACCATGATGAACGATTCATGTCTTATTGCGATGACATACTATATTTAAGGGAAGAAAATTGGAAGGAAGAACCGTTATCAATTATAATGAAATGCTATTCTAATGTTGAATGTTAGTACTACTACTAATAGTGAAAAAAGTAGTAATTAACAGAGACGAGGAATATTATAGTGAAAGCAAGGTAAAAAATCAAATATTCAGAAAGCGAAAACACTTAATTGTGCTGAAGATGACATAAATTCACATCAGAATATTAGTTTAAGCAAACGAATTATTTGCAATGAAAATGAAAGAACATTGATGACACGAGCTGTAAAAATTTATATTCTATCACAAAGCATTGTACCAAGTTTATTTATTTATTACTAGATGTTATCATAGTCACATTTTCCATGACATTCTCAATAAAAGCTGATTCAGTTTATGGTTCAGCAGCAATCGAATATTAAGCATGTTTAGTTATGGTAACTCGACATGGTTAAAAACCGTCACCTAAATTGGTTGGTTAGTTAAAGATTATGCTTCAGGGACATTCTATTGGCTGTAATACAGAAGAGCTGTGAAAAATTCACCTAAAATTTCACCAATCATTTCTTTAATTGAGTCACAACTTTCTTACACAAAATATTTCATTGAGTATTAAGTAATCAAATAGAATAGATTTTTATTATTAGCATATCTTATGATCTATGACTTGATCAAAACAAATTACTTGGATAGTTCATCAAAATTCACTTTCACCATCTTATTTAGACAAGTCAAAAAGCTTTCCTAGCTTTTATGCGTTTAACTGTTATGACGATTTATTAGTTCACTGATTGGTAGCACTAAAAATGTTATTATCTAGATCAATGGTTCGCTGCTAGACACTAACAATTTATCAGAAACATTATATCTCCATATCATTGCCAACTCATTACTAGTTCTGAGTAATAATTTTCAGTTCATTCGGTTCTAAACAAATTTATCACATCAAGGGGAACTTCTGTTACCAAAAAATAGCCAAAATCGATCGAATGAATATTTTCCTATCGATCTGCTTTTTTAGAATACTTTTTCTCAATCCATTATTTCATGAGTAGTAAACAAGGCTAGAATGGAGTTTCACATAGTATCTTTATTTCGGAATGTTGAAAATATTTTCAATAGCTAAGTTCTCAAGGTAAGTTACAAACAATACTCAGATTATTCAGTGTCTTGTCACGATAGATCTGACTAAATTACTATCTACAGCGATTAAAAGTTTGCAGGTCAACTCTAAACAGAAAAGAAAAATTTCAAATTCTTAGTCTCAATGGATACTCAAAGAGTAAAAAGCAAGTAGAACAATTTAAATATGTGGCAATCTGGTTATTTTTATTAAAATGATTCAAGAATAAAGGTGATTTATTTGTATAATGTTAAAATAAAATCCTATGTTAATTGAAGGCAACAGAAGAGTTAATAAATTTTCTGGATTGTCATGCATTTCCCTTTTAATTAGTGATTATCACACATTTCACAAAATTAGTTAAAGCACGAAAACCTCAGGGTGAAAAGTAGCTCTCATTATAACTAATAATAATAAGCATAACATTCAAAGGCCAAATAATATTGTGAATAAACTTCCATGAACTTCAGAATTACAAAAGAGATGCCAGCTTTGTAACCTTTTGAAATTATGTAACACAACATCCGAAGGTAAACAGGAAAACTGTTAATGGTACAAATAATCAAATATAAAGAATCAAATATGAAAAGTTACGTTTTCTAAGACTATCTCAGAACATGGTTCTATACTGGAATTTATTAATCCTCAAAAAACAGTGTACGGAGAATTGGATTCATGAATTGGCCAGATATTGTGACTCTGCTGCCATTGCATTCTCTTGAAAGTTGGTGGTGAGGTTTGAATTGTACTTTACAGAAATCGCCTAAGCATTTGTGAAACCTGTCTGAAAGATGTCAACGCATAATTGTTCATCTGCTGATCCATAGGTTTACTTTTATAAATTACAATCTCAGCATTTGTCTTCACGTGAATCTATTGACTAACAGATACTTTCTGAATGTTCACGTCTCTAAGCACCAAAGTGTTTAAGTAGTTATTTCTCAGATCCATGTAATAAACAAGATAAAATACTCCTTTTTTCACCACAAAATATTCTGAAACTTTTTTATCGTGTGATAACCTTTAGTAGCGCCATTTGAGAAAGGTACATGATTTATTCGTATCATAACATTTCTTCAAGCTTGTATCGAGCTAAATAACGGAAACAGTGGATAAACTCAATCAGTTCACTTTGAACAAGTAAACTGAGGCGGATATTTGCTGTTGGCTTTATATGGTTGAAATTTAATCTATATGTTTATATAGCTGTTAAAGATGTCACATGTATAATCCTGACAGGTAAAAACAAAAAATAAGAATGATGCTCAACTTAATAAGAAACTAAGTCACTTACTATCGAATAAACATGTTCAGTAAACTGGTAGTGATCGATAGTTAAATAAATGTCAAGACTCATGGAAACATAAACAAAGCTAGTATTTAATAATAGTTTTTTTTATATATTATATACACCGAGCTTTATGGCTTTCGAGTTTGTATGATAAAACGTATCTTTTGTGATGAATTGGATTCAGTTATTAATGGAAACCAAAGGGTAGATTTCTGTCTGTTTGTAACAAATATTAAACGACTGAACAGATTTCGATTCTAATATTAATATGTCAATATGATAGATAGAGTTGTATTCAGGGCTAAGGTCATTGCTCAAGAATACAAGTCAGAAGAAGCTGTTCTGTCATTCGTTTCAGTGCATTGACATGTAAGTTCTTACAATCTAGAATCTAAACATATGATACAAAACTGGAGACTAAAAATTACTTATATTTTCTGCTCACTATGTAAAAATAAGCGTACTATGAAAATTAATCCTTAGGGTCTTGCATAGAGCTAACCTACAAATATAAAAAAATATGAAGATGAGGATTAGTGTAGGTTAAGTTTATTCACTATGCTAAAAAATGATAGGTGTATCAGAAATGGTCCCCAAAACAGAATTTCTAATAGTTTTAATATTAACCTATTGATTTAGGTGTAGATTGGACAATATTTCCTAATAGTGAGAAATATTAGTTTAGTTTATATCACTTTTAGTAAGAAACTCTATATCTATTAGCAAAAAAACAGTACTTCTTTTATTCTCTGAATAGACGGGGACAATAAGGTGACACTATGTGTTTTTTTCTCGCACTAAAACTACTTTTGTACAAGTAAAATATAAAAGTGTAAATAAAGAACAGTGAACAGAATTTATTTGAAACAGTGTAGAAAAAATATCACAAATAAAATTATAACTTCGAAAAGACATGAAAAGTTTGTAAAGTCAACTGTTATATAGAAAACAATTTTCTTTGGGAGGGGGGAATGATATTGCTAAATAATAGCATTAGAAACAAATTATTGGGCAAGAAGGATGAATAGTTAACAAGTTACTTTTAATATCTTAAATGAAATATACATCATACGCTGTTCAGTGTATACAAAAGTTTTACTTAACTATAAAGCACAATTACGAATCTAATGATATCACTTGAATGTTTATTAGTTTAATTAATTTCACAGATTTGATTGTTCGTAACAGTAATATTTTTACATAAAGATATTCCTTATTACGTAAACTTAAGATATTCATATCTTTCGAAGGCCAAAGTTTCCTCTTGATTATCCTTTATATCCAAATGACCCAACGAACCCAAATCACCGAGTTCTTTCACGAGAGTATACCATTCAAAAAGTCTTTCCCCAGCTTCTTTGTAAATATCTCATCTTCCTTCAAATTTTGTAGGGCTTCCTGAAAGCTACTTGGGAGCAATTTCACGTGGTTCCCATTTTTACTTTCTGATGGTTTCTGGCCAGGAGGTGGCGGCTCAAGCTGACGGTCTAAGCCATCCATACCAGCCGCTAATGTAGCGGCAAGAACATGATAGGGACAAGAAGCAGATGATGGAATACGGTTTTCAATATAAGTGTTCTTTTCATCAAAGTTTTTAACGCGAATTGCCACAAACCTGTCACGGAAGTCCCAGTTTACAGCACCCGGTGCAAAAAACTTATTTAGTCTTCTATAACAGTTAATGGTTGGTGAACAAATAGCTAACATCGCCGGCAGGTGTTCTATAAGGCCGCCGATCCAGTGGCGGGCAGTCACAGATAAACCATCAGGATCTGAAATAAGGAGTGAGGAAAAATTCAATATAGTATGATTTATACTCTTCCTCAAGGTGTTTATGATAGCTTACACCAGTACCTTCGTTACGGAAAATTGTTGTATTCTCTTCACTTTAATTTTATTTTCGGTATGGAAATGAATTATTCAATTTTCATGGTGTTTTTATTCTTACTATTCTTTTCAAATACACTTGAACTTAGCAAAATAGAATCAGTAACCTATATCAAAAGGATAAAGCAGTGAAATACTTATACTTACACTTACACTTTTCAGAAGGTTAAATTTTAAAGAAAATGTGATGTTTTTATAACTTTATAAACATATTTAAATTGGACGGACTAGATTCTCACACATAAATAGATTAATAGAAATTAGTATTCAGGAACACAAGAAGTTTGAATCATGTCAAGATCTTATCAGATTAGTACTATGTCTACATTAAATAAATAAATCATATTTTTGGCGAAAAGCAGATGAGATCAAATATACATATTTGAACCATTAGGAACTAATATATTTTTATTGTAACAACAAAATTTACCTGCATTATCATAAAATGCATTCCGACCAGTATCGGCATACCACAGCGAATGATTGTAATGACATCCACTGGAACTAGCGTTCAACAAGGGCTTAGTCATAAATGAAATCTCCATATTGTGTTTTTCACCTATTTCTTTAATAGCTTGTTTCAGTATAAAATAATTATCTGCGGCGGATAGTCCCCAAGATGGTACCAGTGGAGATTCTAACTGTCCTTCTCCGTCCTCATTACTATAATCTTGAATGTCAACGTTAGCAAGTTTCATGTTGTGATCAATATCAATGAAAAAGTCTTCATAGACTGATAGTAGGCTTGTCCTGTATATATCACCAAACTTAGTATACGGGACGGGAATTTTAAATGAACGCATATTAGTTTCACCTGTTTTGTAGGCTTTAGGCATGTTGTTTCAAATGTGCCCTTTTGAAAAGCTCTAAATTCAGGTTCAAAAGCAGAAAATAAACGTAAATTGTACTTAGTTTGGAGTTCATCAATAAGCTTTTTTACTGCAACTCTTGGATGAGTTTTCATTGGTTCATTATTTGGCCAGGCTAAATCACACAAAACTGCACAAATGGAATATTTTCTAGTTCTAGGATTATCATCATTATCAGTGTTATTATTATGAGAATGTTGAGCTTTTCCATTTGAAATCCAGTAGCATGGATGTAAAGTCGAAAAATCAGGTTTAAGTTTACTGTTTACGTGTTTTCTCTTTATTATCTCTGGCACGTCGAATACCTGTGAAGTACAGAAATTCAATTGAATTTACTTATCATATATTGATGACATTTAGTTTCATAGGGAAAAAGTTAACTATTGGACAGATATCACTTAAACAGATAGTTTAACAATTACCAGAAAAAGTAAGGTATACTTTGCACTGCAAAGTATTTTATGGAAAGAGGATTAGCTACAGTAAAACAATAGTTTATATGATTTCCGCAATTACAGGGTTATCATCGATAAAATCTCTATATCGTCGTAAGAATTCCTTAAACATGTCTATACTATCAAGCTGCTACAAGAAATTTTAGCATAAGTCTCAATTCATAGCTTTATATCTATATTTCAAAATTACAGGTCAAATACACAAAATATTTGTTGCTATTCTTAACCACTTTTATCAACGTCTTAACAATTGTAATATCTCACTTTAGATGCCTCAGCGAGGAGCCAGTCAACGAGTCAGTATAGTCGATTCTGGAAAAGTTCTTATTCTTGATTGTCTAAACATCGAGAAGTACTGATGAATCAAAATATCGTAGGGTCGAAATCTGAACTAAATATTCAGTCTGTTATCGTTAAACTGAACCTACGTACATAACTTAATAAACAAGTAAACCCATGTTACTTTGGGGAAGTTAATCTCTCCGAGTTTGATAATTCAGTCGTAAAACGTTCGCTGACTATGAGATATAAATCCTCTTCACCAACTATGTTACCACTTTTCATTACCTTTCCCAATATATCCCCACTGTAGTCCCTACCGAAAACAAGATTAAATACCTATGTTCTATTTCAGTGTTTGTTCCAGTGAACTACTTCAAAAAAATGTTTCCAAGTAAATAAATTCGTTTGTTTCGAAAGTGAAGCTATAATTTCGGGTAACGATTTTAATTCGCTTTAAGTTCAAGGATACATTGTATCTGATTGCGATAAAATTTCACACTTATACTTACTTCACCTCGAGGACCGCCTGTTATTGCTCCTGAGTAGACTTCACTCTCTCCTTTTGCAATCTTCCTCGCAAATCGCGTAGATAATAGCTTGCTGAGGTGTATCCCATTAAGATCTGGGAAACTTAAACGAATGTAATCGAATTTCCCCACTTCCTCTATAAAACGCTCCTTTACGTCATCCTTTTTCAGTGTGTCGTCTTTATTATTAGAATTTGAATCCATTTTGCCCAATTTCTGCTCAAAACTAGTTGGTAAAAACAATTACACACGTAAAATGTTACTCTGTTTATTACTACTGTCAGTTAGAATACATCAAATGTCATTTCAATATTCAATATGGTTTGTTAAGTTTGTTTTATAAACAAGCTAAAACCATTTTTCTTACGTATTTGTAACATAATAGTACGATGAACGGGATCATTTAATATATCATATTAAGTCAAGTTTAAAAATAATTTAAGTTCAAATTTAGTGTTCAATTCCTTACTTCAGAAATTTGGTACCTTCAATGACCGCTTAATTTATCGGTAACTACGACCCAAGGAAAATTCACCGAAAAGAAAGGACATATGTTTTATTTTATTTAGGAACTTGTAAGCTGTTTGTACTTTTGTTATTTACAAGTATGAATCCCTGTTACTGCAAACAATCAAATTCAAGCAAATGACTGGCAAATTTCCATATTCTAGTTTCATATGGTCACTGGTCATTCAGAAATGGTAAATCTCCGTGAATTTCGTTAATTGGTATGAAACTTAAAAACAAAAGATTCAAGGATGGAATATCCTTTTAACTAATTTATTATTAGTCTGTAAAATAATGTACAATACATGAAGTCATTTCGAATACAACAACCGTGAACTATTCCTCTTTAATAAGTGCCCTTCACGCTTGGAATACCTTAGATTGGTTTTCATATCACAACGAGGTTAAATAATCTTAATAATCTTCAATATTCAATGTTGTCTAACTTAGATCGATTGGTGGTTTCAGTGAAATTCGACTATGTCCAAAACTCTTTAGTGACCATTGTCACGTGCTCACTAGAGACTGGCTTCGAGAGGGAATTTCCAAAGTTCTAATAAGCTATTACCACTGGACCTGACCGCGTCGGGGTTTAGGAAGGTACCCACCAAACACAATGAGATATGATAATGCAATATCGTGGGTTGATTGAAACTAGACTTTTACACCATTGGATGCCATCTCAATAGTTTAGAGGTCAGACACTCGTGCACAACATCGAAGATCCCAGGTGCGACTCCCGGATGCGGGGTCATAGGTGCTTAGCCAGGTGAACACTACCGAGGAGTCCTATACTAGGACGAAGCGCCTATTCAATGCCTCTAGGTTTTCAATAGTCGCCTAACTTAAACCGGATAGTGATTTTGATGTATATCATCATTATTTGATCTATTATGTACTTTTGATTACGGTGTTTAGCCGTGTGATGAGTTGTGTAGGAATTCATTTTCTAAAGAAATGGTTACCACGGTTTCCTTAGGAAAGTCGTAAATTTCACACTTCCACATCATTGAAAGTTTATGCTAAAACACAAGATAATTAGGAATATTTTATATACAGGCATTGCGTGAGTTTCAAGAATTAATTTTTTTATAAATGAAGATTTAACAGAAAGTTCTCATGAGATCCACTTTATTTAGACAAATGACGAAGGACAGGGGTTTCAATATCGATAATATTCATTTTACTCAGTGTTACGGTAAACAGAGAACTGTTAGATATGTGAATTCTTTGAACTTTAAGTTGTTTATGTAAACGGACATTTTAAGGCTAATTCAATTTATGAACTAGTTATTTGAATTTATTCAAATTAGTAATTCATGACCGTCAGTCATTACATATCGTTTCAGCCCAAAATGGGTGAATTTAAAGAAGTTATAAATTCAACATGGGTTCAAGGGTCGATATTTGGTCAGTGTTTGGATTCTCGCACTTACAATGTTTTAGTCAGCTTTTAGTTTCACATGTGAACTATGAAAATGTAAAAATATAAATAACTATAACGATACTGAGTTTAGTTATGGTAACGTCATAACATTTTGTATAAGCTCATTTTTAGAGTGAATTTGTAGTTTTTAGCTTTTCAACCTTAAGGTTTTACGCTTCTGTGGTGTTTGTATGAACTACTGATTCCTTTTTATTTGATTGCCAATCTAATTATGAAAGCCTCGTAATACCAAACAAGCTATTAAAGAGGTATTTAACTTGATGACTGATAACCTTTGTTGTGAATCAAACGAAAAATAACTAAACAAATATTGTAGCACGTATAAATGTTGAATGGTAATATCAATACAGATGCTAAGTAGTTAAAGCGAATAATTACGCACTGACTTAGAAATTATATATATTGAAAGGGTTCAAAATATTCACAAGTTTACAAATCTGAATAGACAATCTGTGGTATTTTATGAACTAATGATTCCTTTGTACTTGGTTGCCCGACGGTTTCGAATTCCAAATATAATATGTTCGTTTGTGCTCATCTAGTTCTACTTTCTGTAAGTTGAACCATTTCAGGAATTGCTAGTTGGTACAATAATTTTAATATTTCTAATCATCATAGCTGTGAACATTAGCATTTCGAATGTATAAAGTAATTTTAACAGGATACTTAGGAAAGGATATAATTAAAACACTGCTGAGGTTTTTACCGGTTTGAACTAAAAAACTCAATGACCAGTTGGTCCAAGTTTTTTTTCGTTGCTATTCCTCTATTCTCATCACAACATAATTCGTTAGCAGTTATCATTATCAGAAATAAAGGCGGGACTAAAGCCATCTGTTGTTTTTTGAAGTAATTCATGATATAACAAATTTGGTGTTATTTTTGTCTTTCCGATTTTCCAAAGGATAGTTGTGCTTGACAACTGAACACAGAAACGAAGAGATGAATATGCGATGATGTATATATTGTTATTTTTAATGTATGAGTTGCTATAAGCTATCAGCTTTTTCATTAAGTCAGATTTAAAAGAACCATTATAGGATATCAATTTGTGGTGTACGATATGGAGCCAGTAACTGATAGCGTAACTAGTATACTATTCTCAAGTACAACACAAATAAACGTTTGAACTCAGTGCTAGCATCCTAATAAATGAGTTAATTTAAAATGAATTCGAAAACCGTTTTTCTAAATTCTCGAGCTGGGTGAATATTTCAGTCACAGAATTCTGACATGAAAGGCACATACACACCAAAAGAAAACCTCATTGGTAAAATATAGTTAGAAAGTTGACTTGAAACACAGTTTGCTCAGTCGTGTTTACTCAAGGTTTATGTACTCCATCAAGGATGTTCAAGTCTGCACGTAGAAGCAAAGCTTGAATGATAGTCACAGATGCGGATAGAAGTTAAAACTATAGGGGATAACAATTCGGAACGTCATGTAGGTAGAATGTATTTTGTAGAATGCTCACAAACAACATGAATTAACCGACAGAAATAAAGTACTATGGTTTAGAATAATCAAAGTTTTATTTACAAATCTGTTGTGCATTGAGTTCATAGGTTTATCAAGAGCTTTGATATTTCCATAAACTCGACTGTCTTTGGTTCCTGATGAACCATAAAAATCAACCAAATTTTGAAGAAAGCAACAGCGGTAGGCTATTGCTATATTTTAATTTGATAAGTACACTTATTGGAAAATGAAAACGTGTTTGAGTCCAGTTTACTGACATTTTATTAATATCCATTACTTAAGGTCATCTTATAAGTTTAAAGGAAAACCCAAAGGGACTAAAATGTTCGAATGTATCAGTTTTACAATATAGATTGACTGACTTCACAATAAAAAAATAGATAAACAAATAACCTACAAATCAGTTATGGATGTGTCGTTATTTACAATATCAGTAGTTTGTAGTTATATAAACCATTAAATACGACAGAGTTCTGATCAAACACCATGATTTTTAGGTGTCCTAATGGGTTCATAGTGACTTTGTAAGAATTTGCGATGATAAAAACAAGAACGACTTCAAGGATACATTGTCTTGTTTTATACCAGAATTTAGACTTTTATTTAAATGAAAACTAGATCAAGGAAGAATTAAGACAAATTAACTATTTATATTAGGGCACATGTTTTCATTTGATCTCGCCTTCATGAAATCCGATTTTTCAACTCAATTCAGAACCTTAATACTATACGACAACCAATCCTACTAAATAATGAAGGCCGATAATGCTGTTGATCATAACGAATTGATGACTGATCTTTATTTGCATACCATAATGTACGGAAGGTGAATGCACATACGACTGTTATTTAAAAAATAGAGACAGGGTTTAGTTTAAAAGTTAAATCTATTGTAAGTGGATGAAATCAACTCTAAATATAACATGAAATTGTAATTGTTCGATGTAACTGAGAACAAAATGTTTTTAGCTTTTGCACAATATGTAAGATTAATTTTTATAAAGAAATGAGAATTTTTCAAGAATGTATTAGTACAAGGAGGTGGAAGTCAGAATAACAGGTTGAACACACGATATGAAAATACCTCATTTTAAATTGTAAAACCAATAAGTCAGTTGGCCAGTGCAATTTTAATCATTGTAAAGGTTAAGTTACTTGATGAAAGAGATATTATATTACCTTATTTAGTTTGTTCGATGGTTATTTTCTGAAAATGCCTTCAAATCTTCAAGATACATTTATACAAAACTACAGAAAAAGTTTAAACAACCAATCTTCATATGGTTAACAAATTTCTTTATTTCATCTAGCACATACTTCCGCATGTTTCATATGCTTGTTTCACAAAAAAATACTAAAATAGTGAGACTTTGTCTCATTTGAACAATACAGAACGTTACGATTTAATTGAAGCAAACATTTGTTTCATGGTCACTAGCATAAAATGTTAGTAACTCATTTTAAAGCATGAGTGTTTAGGTTTTGTATCGACTGGCTCGTTTGTTTGTATCTGAACTCAAGGAAATCAGTCTTGTCAAACAAATAACTTCTGTAAAACGGTCATAAAAAGAACCCTAGAACATCTTAGTAAATAATGTTATGCATTTAGAAAAAAACAGTAACAACAGTGTGTATAGTGAGTGCGGCCTATAGTCATCATTACGAACACAACACAGAAATTAACTTATCGCATAGTGGTGAACTTCAACATCACTTGTAGCTGATAACTCACTGTACAACACAAACAGATTAAAAAATACTAACTTTTTGA